CTCAAAAGTTTCATAGAGAACGAAAAGAAAAATCATTCCAAAAAGATTATATTAATTCAAATAATAAAAAATTTAATGAACATGTTAATCATGCCTATGACCAATATACATCTGACATTAAAGATGCTTTAGAACATTAACTATACACTTTCTATTAACTCTACTATTGTCCAAATTATATTTCTAATTCTTTTAATCATCTCAATTGATAATATCTCAATTTAAATTATATAGAAAATTAATAAGCTCTTCATTTTAATAAAACTGTATTATTTTACTACATTAATTCTATTTTATTTAATTGTGATAATGTTAAAGTAAAATAAACAGTAAGGAAAATATGGACTGGTCATGTTAATATAATTAATATAAATAATGGGCTTGTTCTTATGATTTCATACATCTCCTTCTTTTATTTAATACTTTACTCTAAAATAATTTACTATATTCTTTTTTCAATTAAAAAATAAAGTAAAATGATTATATTCATTTATTCTTTTTTTAATTCTATTATTTTTTGTGTTACTTTTTATGTTTGTTTAATGTTTTGTATTATAAATTATTTATTAGTCAAATAGATTTTTATTTAATCTATTTCATGAATGTAAATTAAATCATTTTCCGTGTTATATTGTTTTAATTGATGAAAATATGAGATATTAATACTTCTTTTATCTTCATTAATTATTATTGTTGAAGTTTCTAATTCAACAATTAACCTCATATTCTTCTGATTATACATTGTGACAATAACAGATTGTTCAAATGAATTAATTAATATGAATAGTATTTAAATTTATTATTTTCATGATGTTTTTCATATGATTAGTTATTGATTTTCTTTGTTTTCTTCTTGTTCATTGAAATGAGATGTAAAAATAAACACCATTTTAAGATTACACAAATATATCTATCTATTTTTCATAATCACCATGATTCACATTCTGAACTGATTGAAGAATATTTTATTAATTAAATTTTATTATTCATTATTATTTGATTTTTTAATTGATTAAATAATATTAAAGTAAGTGATTGAACAAGATGAAATATGTGATATAATAATTGATAATAATATTATGATAAATAAATATATTAAATAATGAAATATCAATATATTAGGCAAAATTATCCATTGTTATTATTGATTTTTGATATTATCATAATCACAATTAATTTACTTATTAATAATATACTGAATGATTATATTTAACATTATTTCATAAATATATCAATTATTGTGAATATTGTTCATTTAGGTTTGTAATATATTCATAATTTATGATATTCTAAGAGAATTAAAATCATCAAATGTTTTACAATATATTATAAAATCAATATAATAAAAATATTATCAACAAAATACAAATCATCATACTTTTTGATGGTAATGATATCAATTGTGTTATAGATTCGATATATTCAGATAAATATATTTTTTATGAATTTTTATCACCACGATCATTGAAACATATTTCATCACAATTAAATAATAATTTATATTGAACATCATTACAAAATGATGATAAATATTATAAATACTAACAATTTCATTGTATTTATATTTATTGTATATAATCTGATTTTAATAATACAACGTGTAAAATAAGAAATTAAATGATAATTAAATCATTTATAAATGGTGTTAATACCTTGTTTCATTTTTATTAAATCATTATTTATTAATGAAAGAATAATTGTTAATTTCGAATTAACATATTCATTTATTAATTTCATTAAATCAAAATCAATTTCTTTATTTATTTTTCATTTATAATGTTTTATTTATCTTATTCACTCTTAATAACATTCAATATATTTCAATAAGTTATATGAAAAGTATTATTAATAATTAAATCAATAATTCCATTCTTATAAAATATATTTGATTATTTATCATTTTAAATGGACATCTTATTTAATCATTCATTATAATATTTAAATAACATAATAATGAATAAATAACTAGATTTCATTTCAATTAAATATAATTGAATGATAAATCTAGTTTTGATTTATTAATTGACTCTTTGCAACAAGAATTTTTTGATGGGTTGATTGGTTCATGAATAGGAAAACGGATAAAATTAAATAATGATAAGATTGAATGAAAATGAAATATTTCATAATTATTCAAAATAATTAGTAACAAATAACTAAATATAAAAAAGATTCTATTATTAAAAATATAAAAAAAAGATATAAATTATAATAAAATAATTAAATCATATGAATTTTTTTCAAATTATATTTTTTTCCGTTCTAATTTTATTCTTATACTGTAATTGATTTTTTAATAAATAGAAGAAAAAGGAAAGAAAAAATAAAAAAAAGAAGGAAAAAGAGGAAAAGAAGAACTAATAAAATATTTAAATTAAAAATAAACAATGATAAAGAAAGGAATGAAATTAGGACATAATGAAATAATGATAGTATCAAAATATTTTGATAGCATCAATGATTTTATTAATTTAGAAATTGGAATTAAAAGATTTCAAGGAAATATAGAACGATTTCATTTTAATCCAATTCCATTAAATGAACATTCAAGAAAATTATTTTCTAATATTGAAACATTTCATATTTATGATAGAAAGGATAAAATATTTGAAGATGGGAAAATAAATAAAAAAGTAATATGGTATAAATTAAAATATTCAACATACTTAGAAGAAAAACAAAAATGGAACATTTGTGAAAATATCGAATACACAAAAGAAGATAGAAATAAATATGGGAATACAATACCATCAGAAGTTAAATCACTTGGAAATGATTGTTTTGAATGTTGTGAAGAAATGATATCAATTAATATACCAACAACAATTACCAAAATAGGTTGGAGTTGTTTTAGTGGATGTCCATGGTTGAATGAAGTTATTATTCCATCATCAGTTAGTAAAATAGGAGGAAGTTGTTTTGGTTCTTGTACGTCGTTGAAATCAGTTAGTGTGCCAACGACAATAACTAAAATAGGGGATTGTTGTTTTTCTGGATGCAAATCATTAACATCAATAGATATACCATCATCTGTTAGTAAACTAGGTGATTATTGTTTTGAAGGATGCTCGTCATTAAGTAAGATTGATATACCAAGAAGTGTTAAAGAAATAGAAAATGGATGTTTTTCAGGATGTTCCTCGTTAACATCAATTAATTATGAGTACATTCAATTTATTAGTGAGGATAGAATATTTGTAAATAAACAGAGTATGGCATCTATTGAAATTAATAATTTAAAATTGGTTAATGGAAAAGAAATAAAACGAAGAAGTATCAATGAGTTTGTTATTCCAACAACAATTAGTAAAATTGAAACTAGTTACTTTGCTGAATGCACATCATTAACTAGTATGAATATAGATAATCTCCAATTTGTTAGTAAAGAAAGAATATTTATGAATGAACCAACATTAATTAGCATTAAAATACCAGAAAGTCTACAGACAATCAATGGAAAAGAAGTACAAAAGAAAGACATTAATGAATTTATTATTCCAACAACAATTACTAAATTAGGAAATGAATGTTTTTCAGGATGTTCATCATTAACAACAATTACTATCCCAACAACTATTATTGAAATAGGAAGTAGTTGTTTTAATGAATGCATATCATTAATATCTATTAACATTCCAACAGTGGTTAGTGAAATAGGAGGTTATTGCTTTATTCAATGCAGATCATTGACATCAATTGTTATACCAACATCAATTAGTAAATTAAGAAAATGGTGTTTTAGTGGATGTAAGTTATTAACATCAATTGAGTTACCTACAACAATTAGTAAAATAGGACATGGATGTTTTAATAAATGTTCATCATTAACATCAATTACTATACCAACAACAATTAGTCAATTAGGAGATTGGTGTTTTAATGAATGTACGTCATTAACTCAAATACATATACCATCATTAATTAGTAAATTAGGGCTCTGGTGTTTTTATGGATGTACGTCATTAACATCTGTTAACTTACCAACGTCTGTTAACGAACTAGGAAATGAATGTTTTAGAAAATGTTCATCACTGACATCAATCAGTATTCCAACATCACTTACATTATTTGGAAAGAGTTGTTTCCGTGGATGTGGATGTGAAGAGGTGTTAAGGCAGAATGAAAGACTACCAAGAAAGTGCTTTGAAGAATAAAGAGTTGTGAAGAAGCATTAAAATAAAACAAAAACTCATTGTTGTTTAAGTTAGAATTCACAATAACAGTTTTAATTAATTACTATTTTAACATTTATCGTTTATTCTCTTTTATCATTATTCTAAAGAATCTTTTTCTATGCAAAAAATATAACAATTTATAACCATATTGTTGGAATGTTTGACTCTTGCAAACAAAAGTAAACAAAACATAGATGTTCAACGCCAAGTAAGAGAATGAATGAAATAGCAATAAAATGCATAATAAGAATGATAAAAAAATACCAAGGAAAAAGTAAGTAAAAAGAAAAATGAAAAGAAAACCATGAATAAATAGAGTGATAATAAAGATAACACCAATAGGAAATATGGAAGATTAAAAAACAATAAAATTAATGTGAAAATAAGAAATAAAATGGAATAAAAAGGAGAACACAAAGAAATAAAAAATAAATAACAAAGAAAAAATGATAGATGTAATAAAAGTAGAATCAACCATACATAAAATGAAAATAGAGAAACCTAAAAATTCATGAAGAAAAACAAAAGAAAAAACAAAGAAATAATATAACAATCAAAAGAAAAAAATGAATAAAAGATGTAAAAAGATAGATGATAAAAATAATCTAATTAATAATATTTATTTACTTATTTATGTTTTTATTGTTTTGAGAAGCTATAATTATAATTATTGTTATATTCATCATCACTCTCTGTACTGTCAGAGTATTTAGTTAATATGATTGGTTGTGAATTTACATTATCATAACTCAAAATCATTATTTATTATTTATTATTATTATTATTTGAATATTAATAATTTCATTAATGAATTATTTGATTATATTATTAATAAATTAAATGATTTTTGTTGATTTAAATTTATTTCTTTATTTTTTTTATATTTATTTCTTTATATTATTATTTCTTTATTTTCATTATTTATTATTATTATTTATATTATTATATTATTATTTCTTTATTTAATATGAATAAAATATTATTATCTTTCATTTCTTTGTTTATTATTTTTATTTCTTTTCATTATCTATTTTATATTTCTTTATTTCTTTTTATATTTCTTTTATTTATTTATTTTTCTTTTATATTTATTTTATTCTTTATTTTATTTGATATTATATTATTTTTTCTTCTTTCATTGTTTATTGTATATATTTATTATTATTTTCATTTCTATCTTATAATATTCTTTTTATATTTAAATATGTTGTTTATTTGATATTATCATTTCATATTTTATCTTCATTATTTTAATATTTATTTTATCTATTCTATTTCTTGTTTTTAAATATTTCAATATACGTTTTCAATCAACGTCTTCATAAACAAAAACATAACAATGATAAATATAATTTTTAACAAACAAATCTTATTTACAAACAAGAAATTAAAAACATAAACAAATCATACTTATTATAAATTATAATAATTTTATAATCATTTATTTATGTTATTTGATTTATATCACTTTCATACAAAGTACAAAAATAATACCTATGAAATAAAAAAAACATAAGAATAAAGAAATCAAATATGAATTACTTATCATTGGGTTTTCATAATATTGAGAAGTGAATGAATCAGTTTCTTAAATACATTTTATTCCTATTCAATTATTGTTTTTTTCAAACACATTCAGAATTAAATACATATCATTTAAGTTGTTATCTATTTTATTTTTTGAATTAAATGAGTATTAAAACTATTCATTCTTTATAATGTTATTTTAAGTTGAATATATCAATAACTATGATTATTTCTTATCTCATTTATCTCAACACTGTTTAAATAATCCATTTTCTTAATAACACTCTACGTATTCAGAGCAAATCTATCATTGATAAATTACTTATATGTTGATAAATAATACATGAATATAATAAATAATCTTATATCATAATAATAAATATTAATAAATAATAACAAATTGTTCTTGAGTGATGTATTATCTCACTAAAGGGATATCATGACTAGATGTTAATGATTCAAAGATTATATATATGAGAATTCCATATGATGTCTCTGAAGTGATACATTCGAATCTCTTCAACTTCACATTAGATATATTTGTTAATCATTTCATTCAGTATTATATTTATCGTATATTTGTTGTTGAACTTAGTTTCATGAAAATATTAATATTAAAATTACATAAATTGATTTAATTTTTATTATTTCTTCTTTATTCTTATTTCTCAAGAATACCGAAACATTACAGGACACACCACAAAAATTATAAAACAATCAATAACAAAAGAAGGAGAAATCCATACCAACCAAGAAATATAAATGATAGAAGAATGAGTGAAAACACGTATTATCTGTATGGACAGAAATACATTAATCATCACATTAATCATTACCATATTAATATCTATCACCATAACAATTATCATAATCATTATCATAATAATGGTATGAATCATTTCATTCATCAATTCATTCATTTTCATCATCATAAGTATTTTATCATTAATTCAAATAGAAACAATCAATATTATAATACAAATAAATCACATCATAAAACACAACACAGATATAAACAATACCATAATAAAAGACAACAACAAATAAGAAATAAAAGAAAAGAAATGATAGAAATATAAAACAAGAATAATTGAAAAGATTATTTGAAGAAGAAATTAAAATACATACACCACAAGAAATAGAAGAAATTAAGAACACTAAGATTAAAGAATACACACCATCAACAATAATGAGAAGATGGTATTTACTTTTAAGAGAAAAAATAAAAATGAATAGAAATGAGTGATTATCAGTATGATGATAGGTGATGATGATAAACAAATAAATCAAAAAGAAATAAATGATAAATACTTAAATAAGAAATATACAATGATGAAAATGATGATGAAAATGAAATTACTGAAGAGAAGAAGAGGCTTAATGAAAAAGAAAAGATGAAATTAAAAGAAGAGGAAGAAAAGAACAATGAAAAAGATAAAAGAATAGAAGAATTAAAGAAAAGAATAGAGGAGTCTATTAAAGAGAAAGAAGAAATGAAAAAAGAAATACAAAAGAAGGACCAGACCATTAATAAATTATCAAATGACATTATTTCATTAAAGAAGAATCATGAGAATGAGATAAACACTCAAAAACAAGAAAGTGATAGAAAATTATTCGAATTCCATGCTGAATCAGAAAGGAAAAGGTCTGAGGTAAGCAATTTATCACAACAAGTGTACTTCATGAAAGATAAATTATTTAAATTACAAAATAAAATTACACAAGAAGAAAAGAAGAAAGAATAGATAAATCACATTATATCTGACTCATCTGAAACACAAATTGTGAATGACCTCACCCCCAATGTGGTAGTAGCTGATGAAATACCATCAAATGAAAATGATCTTCCAAAAAAAAGAAAGTTAACGCAGAATTCAATCGAAGAGATGGGAAATCAGCATAAGAAGATCACCACATCTGATCATGACATTCAAAAAAACAATTGAAGTAAACAAATAGAGAAGAATAAATTCTAATACTCTATAAATGTTTTACACTGAAGTTATTAGAAATAAAATTAAGAAATCAACTTAAAGATGAAGAAATAGTAAGATTAATACATGAATTTGATATTAAAATAGAAGATATTAATGAATATAAAGAAATAATAAAGAAAACATTTAAAATAAAGAATGAAATTAAAATTGAAGTCAATAGAAGAAAGGAAGAAGAAATAATAACACACAAATTGAAAGATATTAAATTAAAAGAATTAATAAAATAAATAAGAAATAAGAAATACAAGAAATAATAAGAATAAATAAATAAGAATAAATGAAATAACAAGAAGATATAGAATTTATTAATTAGTATTACAATAGAAATAATAATGAATTAAATAAAGGATGATTAAAGAAAGTGAATGATGAATATTAAATAAAACAAATAGAAAATGAATAGAAAATACAATTAAATTTAAATAAAATCAATAATAAATAATACAAACATGAAGTATTTAATATTTTATTTATTAAATTATTAGATGGTATTAAAATATGAATATAATTTGAATATCTAAGAAATGAATAAGATAATAGAAATAAAATATATTAAATTCATAAATAACTAATGAAGTATTCATATTATCTAATTATTCAATCTATAAGTATTGTTTGTTGTTTCATTTCATTTGTTCTTATTGTATTTTTGAGAATAAAATAAAAAATATGAAATTTCAAATTGATTTAAATTTTCAGAAATAAAATATTAATTAAATTATCTTCTTCACAAATCTCTTCTACTTGTTGCTCAGATGAGACCACATCCATTTCTTCAATTTCTGGAAAGATCAACTCTTCTGGTTTGTCAGTATTCATACATTCATTTGAATTATCATATTATTTATAAATTCTGTTATATTTATGATAATTGTGTATTTGTTATTTGAATTTCTGATATAAACATCTTATCTTTTATTGAACTTCATCTTCTTTATTCATAATTTCCATATTCTACACATTCATTATTAATATTGTTTATAATTGGTATTTTTTACATAATAGATGATGATTTATCACATTTTATTGTGTTTTTCTTACTCTATCATTATCTTCTTTATTTCTTTTTTACTTATTTGTATCATCTTCTTTGTATAATTATTAATTTCCATATTTTAATTATCATTTCATTGATTGTCATCTAATGATAAATTATTATGAAATTCTATTTAATCCTCTTCTTTTTCATTCATCTAAACAATGTTATTTGAATCTATTCTTTAAATATATAAAATCAATTTTGTTGTTTTCTCTTCTTTCTTAAATATTTCTTTAATTACTTCATTATTTATTCTCTTTCAACATTTATAAAATCTATCCTTTTTCTTTTTCATTCACTCT